CCCCAAAACCCCAAAACCCCAAAACCCCAAGTTGTTATAAATGAATAAAATTATTTTTTTAGTCAACAAATAGGTTGGTTAAGGGCCAATCTAAAGGCTGTGCCTGCTTAATAAACATAAGGTGCATTCATCGTCAGTCTTCTTTATGCGTCTTTAAAATTGAAATTATGGTATTAGGGCCTCCTTTATTAATGAGTCATATGTTTTTACTTCCTTTGAGAATACCTATTTTGTAATATAAAAACTCTTAAAAACCTAAATTTTAGTTTTAGAAATTTCCTGTAGAATTCGACTTTGTCTATCAGCCCAAAACTGTCTGGTCAATTACCCCGATTTTTGAGATTGAAGCTTTATTTTTAGGATCACTATAACTCCTTTAGGAACGAAAATAAAGTCAACAAATTAAAAATATTTACCCTAAAATTGACCCGACGTCTATCAATTTTGCTAATATTTTGGGCAGGATTCTTCTTATTCGACCTATTTTCTTCTTTATTTTTCAAAATTGACCCTGAGAGATTGCAATTTAGCTCCATTTTCTTAACCCAATTTTTCCCTTTCGTTTATTATTTAATATCTAGGATCCATGAAGACCAATATTCTGCAGCTAGGCTTGGTTGTGCCTCTAATAGGCTTCTAGAGTCGCTCAATAAACCTGCAAGGAAGAGTTGAGTTCAAGTAGAAAAATGCCCAGCATAGGAAGGACCTTGCAATTTAAGGTCCATCTCTTTGGTTAAAAAGATTACTGAAAGTTAATTAATGTAAGATGGAAGGATCAGCTCAGAACGTTAGAGAAAGCAGGGCTTAGAAAGCAATGTAAGACTAGCCCAAGGTTTAGCACAAATAAGCAATTTATGGTAGAATTAGTTTATGTCATTATTAAGAAGAGATCGAGGAAATCTTGGTTTGTTTATAATGAGTTTAAACTTCTTTACTCATTCTTTCATGAGGATGAAACATCCAACCGTTAATTAGGCTAATGCTAGCCACCTCTAGAGTTATTTCTAGAGTATTATTCATTTGAGATGTAACTTGCATTAATTCTAAAAATATAGTTTGGAAAAATTTATACGATTAGAAGGCAAATAAACTAAGTTGCAAAGTACTAAAGTCTGTTGATCAGCATTTCCATCCAATGGACTCGACCATTGAAGAGTTTGATTCTAACATAGATCGTCATATCAACAAGGACATTGAGGATATGGAAATGTATTTTGATGACCAATTATACATAAATTCGAGCAAGAAGGCATCTATGATCAAAAATTTAAATTTTGGTACACTCAGGTTAGATAATCTGAGAATGACTACAGACAAAGTGATATTTCTCAATTTACTTCATTCCCATACAGAGTTAACAATCTTGTGCTTCATAATGATGAAAACGATACAGTCAGTCTTCCGTCCAGATATTTTGATCGGATTCTTAGAGTTAATTTCAAGATCTCAAGAAAAATAATTTTTGATGGATTTTGATTAAATTTTTGCCAACTTGAGAAATTCTTTACAGCATTCAGACATGCTGAGATATTGGGGTTGATGCTCTGTAAACTTTCCATTCCTAAAATTCCAGATTTTTCTAAGCCATTGGAGAATACTAACGTCCAAATGATTATTTTTTCTAGTCTGGACTCTACACTGCAAGCAATTTGAAGATATCCACTGGAATTTACTTATTTACTTAGAGGAGTGACCACTCTGCAGATTTAAAGCTGAGTCTTCAAAAATAGACTTAAGAAGATGTGTGACAGATAAGACAATTTCAAATGGCATATTTGATGAGAATGGATTTGGTAAAGTTAAGATTATTATTTTAGACATTAAGTTTTGTCAAATATCTTTCAATATTATGATTATAAGTTGGGGTTTTGGGGTTTTGGGGTTTTGGGG